CACCCCACTTCCCCCAAGGAGCTGTCAGCCTGCTCTCTATGTAGGAAATCGGTCTCTATTTTGCTTGTTAGTTCAGTTTGATCATTTAGATTCCCACATATGAGTGAAAAGATATGGTACTTGTCTTTCTCTGTCTTATTTCACTTAGCATAAATATTTCTCCCGGGTCCCATCCAGGTTGTCGCAAAGGGTAAAATTTTTCTTCCTTTTTATGGCCGAGGTAGTATTCCATTGTGTAAATGTACCATAGCTGTTTTATCCACTCATCTACTGATGGACAATTAGGCTGCTTCCAAATCTTGGCTATTGTAAATAATGCTGCAATGAACACGGGGATGCATATATTTTTTTTGAATTAGTAGTTCAGGTTTATTCGGATAAATTCTCAGAAGTGAAAGTGCTGGGTCATAAGGCAGTTCCGTTTTTAATTTTTTGAAGTATCTTTGTACTGCGTGCCCCAGTGGCTGCACCCATCTGCATTCCCACCAACAGTGCACAGGGGTTCCCTTTTCTCCACACCCTCTACCGTTAGATTTCAGGATGTCCCCACCCACTTGGCCTGTTCCTTTGTTCCCAGGCTCCAGGAAGAATGTTCTGGCACTGACATTACTAGAGAGGTTTTGGCCTTACTAATGGCATAACATCAGTGGGGATTTTTATATTTAGCATCCCCCCTCCCCTACCTTTTCTTCATTCACTTCCTGCTATTGAGTCATATCTGTGCCTCCTTCACTAAATTGTAAATAATTTTTCATAGCAGAATGGAAAAAAATCTTCCAAAAATGATACCCAAATCCCTCTTACAGAGGGAACTGTCTTTAGCAAGAAAAATAGTTAGGTATGCCATGTGGAGCGGAAGGTAAAACCTTAAGCACAAGTAGTCAGGGAACAAAAAGATAAACCACTGTGCATTAGAAATAAACAGGACTTTGGTGATGGGGAAAGATTAGGGGAGAGAAATGAAGAAGGGGAGAGGGAATGAGAGAGCAACTTGGTGGGGAGCTGAAGAAAACCTGAACAGCTTGGCAGCCCTGCTACACTAAAAACGTGAACAGCTTGGCAGCATTGCTACACTAAAAACCCTTCCTCTTCCTTCTTCTGAAAAGTTCAGTACACACAAATGCAGTATGTGTGCTTGTTTCTAGCTGATCGAATATAGCTAAGATGATAGGATAGCTACTCCCTTGATTAGGTGATATGATGTAAGACCCAGACTTAGCAGACGAGAGAGAGAGAGAGAGAGAGAGAGAGAGAGAGAGAGAGAGAGAGATTGTTCAGTTAATAAAATAACTGCCATGGTAGGAAAGGGCCACATGGCAAGCAATGGCTGGCAGCCTAGTTGCTGAGAGCAACCCTTAGCCAACAGCTGGCAAGATAATAGGGACCTCACTCCCACAATCACAAGAAAGTGAATTCTTCTAACAACCACGTGAGCTTGAAAGAGGATCCCAAGCTCCAGAAAGGGATGCCCACCGGCCAACACCTTCACTGAGGTCTTTTGAAACCTTGAGCAGAAGACCCACTAAGCTGTGCCTGTACTCCTGACCCACAGAAACTGTAAGATAATAAATGCATGTCCGTTCAAGATGCTTAATTTGTGGCAATTTGTTATGCAGCATAGAAAACTAATACAGGAGAGCCTGGCTGGTGTGGCTCAGTGGTTGAGCTTTGACCTACGAACCAGGAGGTCATGGTTTCATTACCGTGGTTGTGGGCTCGGTCCCCAGTGTGGGGAGTGCAGGAGGTAGCCGATCAATGATTCTCCCTCATCATTGATCTCTCTCTCTCTCTCTTCCTCTCTTAAGTCAATAAAAACATATTTTTAAAAAAATACACGACATCCAGTTAAATCGGTATTAAAGATGAACAATAAATAAAAAAAGAAAAGAAAACTAATACAGGAGAGAGAGAGAGAGAGAGAGAGAGAGAGAGAGAGAGATTGATTATATACTGAGAAAGCACGAGTTGGGAGTCAAAGATTGTCCTGACCTAGGATTTTGGCAATTTGAATATTGGTACCTTAGTTTGGGTTCCTCCAGAGGCAGACCCTGAGATAAGAAGTTGGTTTATTCAAAAGGTGATCCTAGTGAAACCAGGTAGTATATTGGGGAAATGAGACATGGAAGGTAAGGAAACCAATAAAGGCTACGTAACAATCAAATGACCATCACGGGCAGCAACAGCTTAATCCTTTTAGGGAACTCTGGGAGATAATGAAGACTATGCCTCAGGGTTATCCCATCCAAGCGGCCAGGGAATTGGGCTCTTTAGTCACCATCAGATGTAGGCTGAGGGCAGCTTCGGAGGGGAGAGGGGAAGCTAACTCCTCAGACTGCTGGCTGATTCTCACATGGAGGCATCTTGTCCACACCTTCCCTGCTCTAACTTCTGTGTGTGTGTGTGTGTGAGCTACTCCTCATTTTACTGTCAGGCACTTTATACCTATTTAATTCTCCCAATACTCCTTTTAGGTAGAGATTATATCTTCATTTTACAAACGGGAAAAGCTAAGATTTAAGAACTTAGTCACTCGCAAAGGTCATCTAGCTACTACGTGGCAGAACTTGGATTAGAAACCCTGTTTGAACAACAACAGAGCTTAAATAGGTCAGAGTTGGACTACCTCCCTAACTCCTCAGTGGGACGTTCCCCGTGTGTGTGTGTGTGTGTGTGTGTGTGTGTGTGTGTGTGTGTTTCACGCTTGGTCTAACCTTTTACCCGTCGCCTTTGCTCTCTGACTAAGCTACATGATGGAAGGTGGCCTTTCTACTCCTTGTGCCCCCTATTACAGCTGAAGTTATTTTTGATTCTTTGTTCCATAAGCCTATATGTGAACGGTGTTAGAGCGGTCCCTACCATAAATTCGAGAGAGAGAGAGAGGATCCAGGAGGCCAAGCCAGCCAGAGAGTTTGTAGAGCTGTGGCATTGCCTGGGAAACAAGGAATGTGTGAGGCTTTGTACTGAGGAGGCAGAGCCTTGCTGTTCTAGTAGCCACCAAAAAAGACAGATTAGCTAGCTCTCTTTGGAACAAAACAAGTTTTTTTTTGTGGCCCTGGAGGAATGGCCCTCGTGAGGGCATTTTTTTCTTTTCTTTTTCTTTTTTGAAGTTCTCCTAGGTAGCCCTGCTCTGGCTTGCTGTTGAGAAACATCGAATAGAAAGTGGAGATGGAGTCAAAGCCTTCCCATAGCCTCGTCCTGAATGTTGGTTTTGCTGCCTGCAGATTTCTGTAACTGTGAGGGGTCACTCAGAGGAAGAGCATTTTGCAGAGAGATGTCTCAAAAGGTCTGGGTTTGTTGGGAGAAATATGTGATCAGGGTGCAGGGTGGCATGGGGTCCTGGGTGCGTTTCTGTAAGGCAGAGGAGGTGCTCCCGTTTCCATACTGGAAAACTGGAAAACATCAAAGCTGTTTTATGCTGAGAGTAAATATTTGATTTCTGAATAGAATTCCAGCCCCCTCGGAAACTGAGGGAGACTCAGGCTTGTGTCCATGGTTGCTGAACGTGCCCTATTCAGCAGCTCTCCAGAGGAACAAAGGGGAGAAATTAATTGGCTTTCAAGTGATGGAAAGATCCAGTTTGCTGACCTATTTAAGCTGTAGTGAGGGCATTCTAGAGAACATTTCTGGAGTCCTGTTCTTCTAAAGCTTCAGTGCTTAAATAAAAACAGAGTGAAAAATCATGGGGAAGCCACAAATACCCCCAACTCATGAAAGGCTTCATTGTTTTCCTTCTCCTGGATTTTCAGATGGTGTCCTCCCACCAACCATGTCCGGGAAGGATTCTCTCCCATCCTCCATCTCTCGCCCCTTTTCAAAGAGGGAGGGGCCGAAGTGGAAATCAGCTAGTCTGCTGTGTGAAGAGCACTCCAAGTTCCAGAGATTAGTAGTGTTGCTGGTGGAAATGGGGTCCTTCCACAAAGTAGCAAGAAAAGCATTTCCAGGAACCGACAGGTTGGGGTACAAATAAAAGACTGCCGCTAGGTCCATCATGTCTTATCTCCATCCATCCCACGTGGAAGAAGTCCAGCCTTGTTTTCATCAAGCCCAGAAGAAGGGCCAGGGTCCAGAAATTCTGTGCCATTGGTTCAATCCATGCCAAAGCTTAGCCCAGTTCCGTCTCTGACCCCATCCAGCTGGCTTAGTCTCTGTTCCCAGCTGTGCTCCAGCCAATGATGCCTTGCTGTTCCCAGGTTCACGCTTGGGGCCCTCACTTGGGCCCCCATGTAACGCATGTTACAGAGAGAGAGGGAGAGAGATATCTTATATATGCATAGTAGAGGCCCCTTGGCCTGATCTGTGCCCTCTCCCAATCTGGACCCCCCCGGGGATGTCAGAGAGCCCTTTCGGCCTGATCCCCACAGGCCAAGCTGAGGGACCCCACCAGTGCACGAATCCGTGCACTGGGCCTCTAGTATCAGTGGTTCTCAACCTTGGCTGCACATTAGAATCACCTGGGAATCTTTTTAAAATCCTGATTTCTGGGCCTCATCCTCCGGAAATTCTGTTTCTTTGTTACTAATGTTGTGGCCCCACCCCACTGATCTATATGATTACCCACCCCTAACTTTTGAGCTTCTATCTCAAAACTCTCCCTCTCTTACTCTGCACCAGTCACACCAGCCTTCTTGCTAGGCTGGGCCCAAACTCCTGGGAGTGATTGTACTCACTGTTCCCTGTACCTGAAACGTTCTTTTATAAAACTCTTCCTTGGAGGTTACAGTAGCTTGCTCCGTTACCTCATAAGACTTTTTGCATTGGAGTCTTTGCCGGAGAGTCTCAGTGAAGCCTTCTCTGCTCGTCCTATCTAAAACTTCATGTCTCCTCCACGGACACACTTTATTTTTTCTTCTGCTTTTTGGGACAGTCTCCATGTAGGATACGGCGACACATCAGCAGTTTCTTTCTTTCTTCTTTTTTTAAAAAATATATTTTATTGATTTTTTACAGAGAGGAAGGGAGAGGGATAGAGTTAGAAACATTGATCAGCTGCCTCCTGCACACTCCCCACTGGGGATGTGCCCGCAACCAAGGTACATGCCCTTGACCGGAATCAAACCAGGGACCCTTGAGTCCGCAGGCTGACGTTCTATCCACTGAGCCAAACCGGTCAGGGCAAAAATATATTTATTTTTTTTATTGATTTCTTACAGAGAGGAAGAGAGAGGGATAGAGAGTTAGAAACTTCGATCAGCTGCCTCCTGCACACCTCCTAGTGGGGATGTGCCCGCAACCAAGGTACATGCCCTTGACCGGAATCGAACCTGGGACCTTTCAGTCCGCAGGTCGACGCTCTATCCACTGAGCCAAACCGGTCAGGGCTCAGCAGTCTCTTCAGACCAACGCGCGCGGCCGGGAACACTACACAGCGACCCCGTGCACCCACTCCATTCCACTGGGTTCCTGGCGCCTTCACAAGTCCCGCCCCCTCAGCGGAAGTGACGGACTAGGCCCGAACTCCGCCCTCACGCCTTATCCGCCCGCCCCCCGGTAGTCCGGACGGAAGGGGCGGGGTCAGAGAGGCTGAGGGGCGGGGCGCCCTACCGGAAGCGGCAGTTAACTGGAGGGGGTTCGTTTAGCGTCTCGGGGAGCGTTTGAATTTGGCGAGTTGCGGGCGCTGTCTCAGCGGTAGCGGGGCCCCAAGGCCTCAGAAAGAGGCTTCTCTCTGTCTGGGACCCCCTCCTCATTCAGCGTCTCCCCCGTAACCGGATACGGATTATTTGGACTCTCCCTCAGACCCAGGTTCTCACCCCCGCTCCCAGCCCCCGTTCTATCCCGCTGCTGCGGTCGGTCCTCCCGTCTCACCTCGCCGTGCCGCCCCTGGGTACCGTCCTCTGTCAGATCCTTCTATCCCCCATTTCTTCCGTTAGGCAATCTTTAAGCCTTCTCCTTCCCCCCTTATTCCTTCCCACTGCTTTTCCCTTCTTTCCTCGCACCTTCTTCAGGAATCCCCGTTCTTGCACTTGGTCAGGCGGCTGCCTTCTCCAAGGGGCCTGCGGCTCATGGGTTAGGAAGTTGAGCTTCTAACGCGGTCGTTTGAAGATGACAGGCTTGTCCTTTCTCCTAAGCAGGAGTCAGAGATTTCAGCAAGTATGGCCCCCCTCAAGAAGCGTCCAAACACCCCAAAGTTGCCCCTGGCCTTAAACCCCCGGAAGAGCAAGGACGTGCTGGCGGTGCTGGCGGAGAGGAACCAGCCTGTCGTGCCCGTGGGGGCGTGGGTGGAACCTGCCTCGCCGCACAGTTCGGGAAGCACAGCGTATGTGAGTGTCAGTGTGAACCGAAATACTAAATACTGGGGTTCCTACCCCATCTTTCCCCCTTTTTTTTTTTTGCCTCTCTGGTGCTTAAAGATAAACAGATGCTATTTCTCTTCGGTCATAAATAATACATTCTTGCATTAGCATTATAGAACAATCACGGGTGTATTTGCCAAAACTCACATACGTATACATGTATATATTTCAGTTTACTTCACAAACTCTTGAGTGCTTGTTATGCACAAGCAATAGGCAACGTCTGTATCTTCTACAGTGTAATCAGGACCACAGTTGGCCACATTTCATGCAACATTCATTATCGCTTAAAGTTTTTCTTAAACATATTTTTTTTATTAATTTCAGAGAGGAAGGAAGAGGGAGAGAGAGATAGAAACATCACTGACAAGAGAGAATCATTGATTGGCTGTCTCCTGGGGAGCGAGCCCAGCAACCTGGGCAGGTGCCCTGCACCGGAATCGAACCTGGGACCCTTTAGTTCACAGGTTGGGGCTCTATCCATTGAGCCAAACTGGCTAGGGCACCGATTACAGTTTTTGATAAGTTTGGTAGTGGAGATTCAGGCCGTAAGAGAATAGAGGAGGGAAAGATGAATTCTGACGGGGATTCTGAGGAAATGTGTACCTATAAATTCCATGAGGACAGAGGCCTTTATGTGCTGTTCATTCCTGACCTGGTTTATGGTAGGTCTTCAGGAAATACTTGTTGCATGAATGAATGAGGAAATACAGCTTGTGTTGGTCCTTAAAGAATGGATCTGCTGTAAGTACAAAATGATAGGGAGGAAGGAGATAAAGGGAAACTTCTGCAAAGTTTACATGTGTGCCTGTTTACATGGTTAGACTCATACTACTAAGTAACACATGAGGATAATTTTTTTAAAATATATTTTTTACAGAGAGAAAGGGAGATAGTTAGAAACATCTATGAGAGAGAAACATCGATCAGCTGCCTTCTGCACACTCTCTGCTGGGCATGTGCCCGCAATCAAGGTACATGCCCTTGGCCGGAATCGAACCTGGGACCCTTGAGTCCGCAGGCCGTCGCTCTATCCACTGAGCCAAACCGGTTAGGGCATGAGGATAATTTTGTAAGAAGGTTTTTATAGTCTTTCACCCAAACGGTTTCACTTTGCTATTTGTTCAGATTTTATTATGACACTTAACACATTACATTCATAGTAAGTTGTTTACATATCTACTTTTCCTGATGGAGTGTGAGTTCCTGGATCACAGGGGGGAAAAAATCTTACTTATCACATTTCCATCTTCATCTTAGCTCCTAACAAATATGGGCATTCGGTAAGTATTTATGGAATGCACAAAGTGTGTGAAGGTTTCTGAATGTATACAAGTATAGACAGGATGATGAGCATGAAGGTGAAAAGTATGAAGTTTACTTAGTGGTCCTTAGAGGAGAAATGAGGTATGTTTAAAGTAAATGTTAAATAGTAATGCAGTGTTTATTTTATTTATGTTTTTATGTATGTAAGTGTGTATGTACATATTCATTTATTTCTACTCTGCCTATTTCCAGAAAGGATTTTAAGAGTTTGGGTAATGTATGATTAAGTGCTAAGACTATGGTATTTAAAGAAGAAAGATAAGACTTTGTGAATACTGATCCGGGACTCAAATGCGATAAAATGTTCCAAATTGTTTAGGATATGTATTGGAATTGAGCATTACACAGATATTAAATACCTTTATATTCAAGTCTCTGTGTTATATAGAGGAAATAAAGGAGAATTAAATACATTTCCTGCCCTCAAAGAGATCATAATCTAATGAAGGAATCAAGAAACACTGTACTCAGTTAACGTTAATCAGAGGTACTAAGCATAACAGAGCTGAGAGGAAGAAAGGATTGTGGGAGGTACTAGGAGGTGGGTATTAGATGGTCTGGGAGATGGAGTAGGTCTTTACTAGATAGAGAGTACAGGAGGGCATGCGGGGTTAAAAATGGAGCATAATTCTGAGTATGAAGGCATTTTAGAATAAGATATTTTGGTGAGTGATGAGCAATCTGGTGTGTCTGGACTGTTTCACTATTTTAGAAAATGTAGAACATAAGATGGATTTGAATTGATTCATTAAGAATTAATGAAGACACTGTTTGTTCTCAGTTTAGTGAAAAATTCAGATTGGATTTGAATACTCCAAATTCCAGTTTTTAGTTTGTGATTTGCTTTGAAGTTCTCAGCACTCACTGGCTATGTCTAGATTATCACCTCTGAACTCCTGTGATTTCCTTACTCTACTGGGAATTGTGGATTATAGAACTGAGTTATTTTTTCAGGATTGTTTCCTGACTTGTGTTTATAACAGAGCCCTATTGGGAAAAATGGTTGACATTAAAGTTCATTTTCTGTCTTTCATCTTTAAAGACTGCAGCATATGTAATTGAGAAAGAAATAAAGGAACAGTTAAGAAAAAAACAAGAAGCTTTGAAGCGTTTTCAGAGACAAGCCAAACACCGAGTAAATCAACGAGTTAGGCTAAGAAAAAAGCAACAGCTTCAGAAGTTCTATGAAGAAGTAAGTTCAAAGTGAGCCCTGGGTAAAGAGTGAGTGGGAAGTGTATGTGTTCTGAGATAAGCTATGACAGTACCAGCTCACTTTCTTTAGATTCCATGCTTTGTATAATCTGATTTGCTGGTGAGAGCAGTAGATTTGTATGTAGAGAAACCATGTTTTATTCCTGTGTTGTTCTGACTCATTTTTTGCTCCTACTAATTAAAAACAATGTTTTGGATTCCTTTTGGGGTTTGAATTCAGGCTTATGCTATTTTTTACAATTAAATTTATTGAGGTAACATTGGTTAATAATACATAAATTTCAGGTGTACAACAAAATTCATTATCTGTGTACTCTATTACATGTTCACCACCCAAAATTTAGTTCTCTTCTGTTATCAGATATTTGACTGTCTCTACTCATTTTGCTCTTTCTCTCTGGTAACTACTATTCTGTTGTCTGTTGCCTATGAGTTTGTTTTTGTTTGTTTTGTTAGTTTGTTACTTTTTTGTTTGAAATTCGACATATAAGTGAAGTCATATAATTTTTGTCTTTTTCCATCTGACTTATTTCACTTAGCATAGTACCCTCAAGACCATTCATGTTACTACAGTGGCAATTTTTTTTTAATGTCTAAGTTGTGTGTATGTGTGTGTGTGTGTGTTTATATATATATAAATGGATGAACATCTTTATATATATATATAAATGGATGAACATCTTTATCCATTCATCCATTGATGGACACTTAGGTTGTTTCCATGTCTTGGCTATTGTAAATAATGCTGTAGTAAACATAGGGATACATATATTTTTATGAATTAGTGTTTTTATATTTTTCATGTAAATACCCAGAAGAGGAATTGCTGGGTCATATGGTAGTTCTATTCTTAATTTTTAAAAGAATCTCCATACTGTTTTCCATAGTGGCTGCACCAATTTACATTCCCACCAACAGTGTACAAGGATTTCTTTTCTCCATATCTTCTCCAACACTTACTATTTCTTGTCTTTTTTAAAATAGCCATTCTAGCAGATATGAGGCGGTTTTGATTTGCACTTCTCTAATAACTAGTGATGTTGAACATATTTTCATGTCTGTTGGCCATCTGTATGACTTCCTTAGGAAAATGCTGTTCAGATCCTCTGCCCATTTTTTAATCCGATTTTTTGTGGGTTTTTTGTTGTTGTTATTGAGTTTTATGAGTTCTTTATATATTTCGGATATTAATCCCTAATCGGACGTGTCATTTGTGAATATCTTTTCCATTTGGTGGGTTGCCTTTTTGTTTTGCTGATGGTTTCTTTTGCTATGCAGGAGCTGTTTAGTTTGCTGTAGCCCCAATTGTTTATTTCTGCTTTTGTTTTCCTTGCCTTTGGAGTCAAATTCACAAAAAACATCTCTGAGACCAATGTCTGGGAACTTAATTTTTTTTCTATGTATTTTATTGTTTCAGGTCTTAGATTCAAGTCTTTATTCAGTTTTAAGTAATTTTCGTGTATGATGTAAGATAGTGGTCTAGTTTCATTCTTTTGCATATGGCTGTCCAGTTTTCCCAGCACTGTTTATTGGAAAGACTTTCCTTTCTCCATTGTATATTTTTGGCTCCTTTGTTGTAAATTAGTTGCCCATGCATATGTAGGTTTATTTTGGGGTTCTCAATTCTGTTCCATTGGTCTGTATACCTATTTTTCTGCCAATACTATATCATTTTGGTTACGATAGCTCTGTAGTAAAGTTTGGAGTTGAGGAATGTGATTTGTTTATTATTTCTAGTAGTTTGTTGGTGGAGTCTTTAGGGTTTTCGATATATGTAATCATGTCATTGCAATTAATGACAATTTTCCTTCTTTCCTTCGAATTTGGATGCCTTTAATTTTTTTCCTGCCTTTTGGCTCTGGCTAGGACTTCTAATACTATGTTGAATAATAGGTAAGGTGGGTATCTTGTCTGTTCCTAATCTTAAAGAAAGAGCTTTCAGCTTATCATTGAGTATGATTTTAGCTGTGGGTTTATCTTATTGGCCTTTATTATGTTGAGGTACTTCCTCCTATACTCATTTTTTTAGGGTGTTTTTTTTTCATAAGTATATATTATAACTTGTCAAATGCTTTTTCTGCATCTCTTGAGGTAATTACATGATTTTTTTTATATTTAGAATTAGGCAGCTGGACTCAGTTTAGATGACCCCAATTTTGTTGGCAACACCCAAAGCATCAGAGTCAGGAGCCAGTCGAACATATGCCGCCTTCTCTGCATCAGGCCTGATCAGTGTGTTGACGCTGGCCACAACAATGTCATAGAGCTTCTTCACAGCCTGTTTGATTTGGTGCTTATTGGCCTTGACATCGACAATGAACACAAGTGTATTATTGTTTTCTATCTTCTTCATGGCTGACTCGGTAGTCAGGGGAATTTGATGATGGCATAGTGGTCAAGCTTGTTTCTCCTGGGTGCACTCTTCCGAGAATATTTAGGCTGACTTCGGAGCCTCAGTGTCTTTGGCTGTTGGAAGATGGGTGACGTGCGGATCTTTTTTCTGTGGCTGTGGACACCTTTCAACACTGCTTTCTTTGCCTCCAAAGTCTTTGCTTTGGGAGGGGCAGGGGCTTCCTTCTTAACTTTCGATGCCATCTTCGTAAAAAGGAATTTTGTGATTTTTAAAAAATATATATTTTATTTTTTTACAGAGAGGAATGGAGAGGGATAGAGAGTTAGAAACATCGATGAGAGAGAAACATCGATCAGCTGCCTCCTGCACACTCCCTACTGGGTATGTGCCCGCAACCAAAGTACATGCCCTTGACCGGAATCAAACCTGGGACCCTTGAGTCCGCAGGTCGATGCTCTATCCACTGAGCCAAACCGGTTAGGGCAGAATTATGTGATTTTTATCCTTCATTTTGTTAATGTGGTATATCACATTGATTAATTTGCGGCTGTTGAACCATCCTTGCACCCCTGGAATGAATCCCAGTTGATCATGGTATATGATGGTATAGATGTTTTACTTGCTGTAGATGTAAGGGGATATGCAAAGGGGTCTTCTCACTTTTCCATGATGCTGACCTGGCTTATGCTTTTTTTATTAGCAATGTGAACTTTGGGCTAATGACAACTTCTCTGGACTGTAGTTTCTTCACCTATAAAGTGGGGATATAATACTTGTCTCATAAGACTGTTGTGAGAATTAGATGAGATAATATAAATTATTAGCACATAGTAAGTGCCTGGTAAATATGTTTTTGTCAGATTTCTGCTACCTCCCCCTGGCACCAATTTTAAATCTTTTGGGCTGCTTATAGACATTATTTGTACTGGGTTGGGGTGGAATCTCACTAGAATCATGTCACTCTTTCTTCCTTTGTATAGGCAGAAAAAGAAGACACTGTAGGTATGCTGCCTTCAGATCTAGAACACTTAACTTCTAAAAGAACAAGAGTTTTTCCGAAGACTTTGAATGCTGCTATTGGAAGTGCTTGGTCACCTTCTTCCCAGAAGCTTGATGATGGAATACAAGATAGAGAGAATGAGAATCAATTAATACAACAAGCCCTGGCTGTAAGTACATATTTATTTTATATCTACAATTTTTTGTAGATGTATGACATATTAGGATATGAAGTAGAGATTAGGAGGTATCACATTCAACTTTACTTTTTCTCACCTTTTTAAAAATCTTTATAAAGTGGGGAAATAGTGGGATGATGTTTATTTTAATATATGTTAAAAAATATTATATTTGGTTTTGGTAAGACAATTTAGAATCATCTTATATAAGGTGCCAAAGTGTTAAAGTTCAAAAGTTATTAGAAAGAGCTTTGGCCAGGTAGCTCAGTTGGTTAGAGCGTCATCCTAATACACCAATGTTGGGGGTTTAATCCCCAGTAGAGAACATACAAGAATCAATCAACGAATGCATAAATAAGTAGAACAATAAATCATTGTTTTTCTCTCTCTCCTTTTCTCCATCTCTCTCAGTTTGTAGCATATGGGCAAGGTGATCCTAACCTTTGTTGCAAAAAAGGTTACTACATATGTGGGGGATTTTGTTTGTTAATTTTTTTTGTCGTTTAATCCGATTCTCATAATAAATAGTTCTAAAAGTCAAGTAATAATATAGGAAATTCTCAATTAACACATTCAGAGGTTTTTTTACCTGTAACTTTTATTTAGTGATTCATTTTCTATACCTGATATTTCAAAATTAACCACCATCAGTAGGTCCATTCACTTGAATCACTTGATGCCATCCAGTCAACTCTATTCATAGTATGCCTGAGCTTTTGTCCAGTTGATATCATATATTTCAGGTCTGCTGTGGGAATTATCTTCATCTTACCACTTAAAAATTATATTCCTAGGGATAGTGAGAGGAAAGCAAAATGTGGAAAATGATGATTTTGTGCAAATAAAAGTTGTGTAACTGCTAACGTGTTTGATCACAGTATGAAGCAAATCCAATTGTGCTAGTAGTCTAAATAGGGAAAGCTTTATAAGCACATGTTACGTTGAAATATTTAAAAACATTTTTTTCTTTATCCAAAACTACAACTTTTTCTTGTCTTTGTTCAGTTTGTAGTCATCATTTTTATAATCATTTTTGTTTTCTTTTATAAGATTATGAATAATTTGTTGAGCAAATATTTATTGAGCCAGGCACTGCATACAGTAAAAGGGATAGAAAATTGATTAAGACAGACACAGTCCTTGCTTTTATGTTCCTTGTAGCTATAAATCCCACTGAAGTAAGAATTTTACTTCATCTGTATAAAACATAAATAGATCAGTCCACCAGATGTACTGTTTGTTCAACATTGTAGGGATACTAATAAAATGTGAAATAGGACCCTTTGTGGGTTTATATTTACAAGGAGACATACAAAGCTAATAGACCCCCAATTTAGTAGACATTAATATAGAGATACTTGCTGTATTTGGTGATAAAGTTGTGTTTTGGCAGTTCAAAAAAATTTTAAATTCCAAAGGAATAGTTAGGAAAGAATTCCTGGAAGAGGTGGAATTGAGCTGTATATTTTGAATTGTTAAGCTGAATTGAATTGGTAAATTCAAGAGAATTTTGAGATAGGAGGGACAGTTAAAAGTCTGGAATATGTATTAAGCCTGATATATTTGGAGTAAGTGATAGAACCTTTCTAATGCTAGTTTATAGAGGAAAACACAGAAAATGAGGTTAGGTAGGAGGAAATCAAGTTATGAGAAGCCTTAAATGTTTCAAAAATTTTAAAAGTTTTTATAGTATGTTTTTTTCTTAAAAGATGAACTACTAAATGTTCAGTGATTTAAACCAGCGGTCACCAACCAGTGGTCCGCGAGGTCCGAAAGGTTGACGACCGCTGAAAACTACTTCAAGCCTAGAAACTTTTGTCCACACAATACCATGACAATAGACACTTTTTAAAGTTTACTGTTTCTGTTGCAGTTCTTATCCACTAGATGTCACTAAGAGCTAGACAGTGAGACTGTTCAAGCACAGCCACCTTTAGTTTTTCTAGAACTGGTTGAGTAAATAGTGATGTACTTCTCTTTCTGAATGTAAGAGTACTTTTCAATTTTCTTATGATTTAAGGATGAAATAGTTTGATAGTTTGACATCTGGGATGTATTTCAAAATAATGTAAGGGTGAGGTGAAGTAGGGGGTTATAAATAAAACCAGATTGGCCAAGAGTTATAGTATTCTGTCTACTTCTATATGTGTTTGAAGTTTCTAATATATTTGAATTTATTTACATTTTACATTAAATGTTAGACAAGAAAAGACATTATCTAGTCTAACCTTTCTCTCTCTAAGGAATTCTTTTTATAGTGTTTCAAGTATACATATGGCCCTCTAATTTCTGCTAGAACATTGCCACTGTTGATCAACTCACTTTTTAGACTTTAAAAATCTATAATTTTTACTCTGGGTCTAGTTTTGTACTCTCAAGTTATAGAGGATAAAATACCATGGTGATCTCTAAGAACACATCAAGTATTTGATTATAGTTATCATTTTTCTCCTTTTGGATTTTTACATTCCTTGACTCTACTAGCTTTTGATGTCTGCTGGCATTCCTTTGCTTGTGGCCACATCATACCAATCTCTGCCTCTGTCTTCACATCACCTACTCTCCTATGGGTCAAATCTTCCTCTTTCTCTTATAAGGATAATAGTGACCTGGTGTGCGAAATTGCGTGGCCCTGCCTACCCACCCACTGCCCCACCTTGACACCCTAACCCAGCCGTGGGCAAACTACGGCCTGCGCGGGCCAGATCCGGGCCGTTTGAAATGAATAAAACTAAAAAAAAAAAAAAGACCGTACCCTTTTATGTAATGATGTTTACTTTGAATTTATATTAGTTCACACAAACACTCCATCCATGCTTTTGTTCTGGCCCTCCGGTCCAGTTTAAGAACCCATTGTGGCCCTGGAGTCAAAAAGTTTGCCCACCCCTGCCCTAACCTCTCCACCCAGAGCTTGAGCGTGCCTGGCCCCGCCCCCGACACCTCTGGCCTTCTCTATCCACTTCAAGCCCCGCCCTCAGTCCCGTGAGTTGCCTCTGGCTGGTCCCGTCTCCAGAGCAACACGGCGGCTCCGCCCCATCATGGCGCCAGAGGAGAGTGTGGAAGCCTTGTACCTGCTGTGGAGTTTCGAGCGCTGCTTCCTGGTGGCGCGTGCGCTGCGCTCCCTTCCCCTGGCAGGTGGGCAGCGGGCATGCTGAGTGCAAGCAGTGGGTGGCAAAGGGGTGGTGAAGGGGGCACTACTGGCTCTCGCCCCTGCTCTCCCCGCTGCGGGATGGTCCTGCCTCCTCCAGGCACCTCCCTGCTGCTGCCCTATCTCCGGAGCAACGAGCAACGCAGTGGCTCTGCCCTGCCGGGCAGGCAGCCTCCTGCTGAACGGTCGTTATGGTGTGAGGGCATCACGACCATTAGCATATTAGCTCTTTATTATATAGGATTATATAGAATGTGTGATAGCATTTAGGGCCCATCTGGACAATCCAGTATTATTTCCTCATCTGAAGATCTTTAACTTAATCACATCTGCAAAGGCACTTTTTCCTTATAAAGAAACATTTAAAAGTTTCAGGTATTGGGACCAGATATCTTTGGGTAGCCATTGTTCAGTCCTCATAGCAGGTCATTGAAAGGGCCTTTGGGTTGAGTTTTGACGAAGGGTTTAGATAATGACAGCAAAAGAATGAATATAATATATATTCCAACTGCTTTGGCTACTTGAAATTCCTGCTTATGGGACTAAAATCAATCTGTGACTCTAATTGAGTTTTAAACTCAATGGGAAATGAAAATTATGTATCCTCATTTAAATCTGTTACATTGTGTAGGGCAATAACATGCATCCTACTGGGCAATGAGTAAAAGGAGGCATATTCACCAGCTGGTGTGGCTCAGTGGCTGATCATTGACCCATGAACCAAGGGGTTGCCAGTTCAATTCCCAGTCAGGGCACATGCCCGGGTTTCAGGCTCAATTCCCAGGGGGACATGCAGAGGCAGACGATCGATGTTTCTTTCTCATCAATGTTTCTATCTCTCTATCCCTCTCCCTTCCTTTCTCATAAAATCAATAAAAAATATATTTTTAAAAGGAGACATATTCATGGCTTTGTATTTTTTTATAACCTCAACTGCACATATACCTCTTTTTGCATTTTAAGTAACTGTTGTGATCCCTTTAGCTACTCTGTGCTAACCAAATGTAGAAATCTCCTTCCTAGTTGAATAAAGAGTGATGTTTCAAGCAGATTTCTCTGGTTAGAGGTATAGACATTGTAGAAGCAAGAACAAAACAGAGGTGATATATGCTGTAAGGAAAATGGGCTGGTTGTGAAAGCGTTTTTTATCCCTACTTCACTATTAGTAAAAATCGCAACAGTATTTACTATTTACTAGAGGCCCGGTGTATGAAATCTGTGCATGGGTAGGGTCCCTAGGCCTGGTCCCTAGGATCAGGGCCATTTGTGGGGTGACCAATGGGGCAATCGGGGGCCTCCACTAACCCGCCTTGGCTGGCCTGGTGCTGCCCGTTTGCCAGTCCCGCCTCCCACTGCCGCAGCCAGTTGGGGCCTGCGGGCTGGGAGCAGCTCCAGCATTGAGCATCTGCCCCCTGGTGGTCAGTGCACATTATAACAACTGGTCGTTCTGCCGGTGGTTACACCATTCAGTCGATTTGCATATTAGGGTTTTATATAGATAGATATCTATAAATAAGAGTCATGATTTTCCTTCCAAGGGAGAACTAATCTCATTAAACTTTCACTGGTTGGGTTAGAACTGGTCCCTGCTTTGCCATAATTTCACTGTGTGCCACAGGGATATGCTTTCCTCCCATATGATATATAGTGCTCAGCCTAAATAAAAGGTACTTTGTTCATTTCTGTATTTTCCTTTAAGGAACATTCTATACAGATTTGTGAAATATCGAGTAGGCTGTGCTACTCTGAAAAAGAATTAAAAATAGATGCTTACTGAAATTACTAGGTAGAGATTAGGAATGAACACAAAGTCAACATACTTGGTATTAATACTCATTATCAGCTGTTACTTAGAGTACTTAAACTAATTGTTCTGTTGAGATGTTGGAGTTTGTGTCCTCAGGTAACTTAGGAAGGCTTCATGGAAGAAGGGAGATTTGAAAAAATACTTTAAATAACAACATTCTTCAAATGTAGGGGTGAAGAAGGGTTCATGTAAATAGGAAAAAAGGATTTTAGGAGGACTAGGAATTAGAGACATCTAGCAAGGAGTAATAAAAGGTAATTAGATATGCAAGGACCAGAAGGTAATAAGTCTGTTCAATAATTTCTAGTGTAATAATTCAAACTTTTAGGTTCTGATATTTTTGTGTACAGAGTATAAAACATACCTTATTTAAAAAAATTTGAGCCCTTAAATCAAGTTATGAAATGCAGTCTCTTAATAAAAATAATGTAAAAACACTATCAACAGGTCACAGTCTCCTTTATAAGTAATCCTCTTGTCTTAGGTCTCTCATTTCTTAATAATAGGGGCCTGTGTTCTTGTTGGAACACTTTAGTGAATTTGGTATTAAGACATTTGTTTGCTTTTTTTCCCTTTTCCCTGACAGCTTAGGAAAACCATGAAACAGGCACGTCACCAGCTGGCATCCTTTAAAACTATGAGTCAAAAATATGCAGCAGTGTTTCCAGAAGATACAAGGAAAAGCTGTCCCACCCAACAGGTAAATTAATTTCTAATAAGTTTTTTAATAGAGATAAAAATATAGATAAAGATTTATTTATATCTAATTTCAACATTATTTACAACTGTAAAATAATTGGGAATAACCTTAAATATCCAATAGCAGGGAATGGTTAAAAAATTATGATACATCTATATATAACCATTCTAAAAACTATCATGATTTCAAAGAACATCTGAAGACAAGGGAAAGTGTCTGTGAGGTAAAGTTTAGTGAAAAAAGTAGGATACAAAATTATATACAATATAATCTCAATTTTAAAAATTCATTCAACAAATATTTATGGGACATCTACAAATGCCAAGACGTTGTGTTAGAAGCAGGTGAAAAGATGAACAAAGATCCCTCAAGGAGCTTCTGCGCTGTGGGGAGGCATATAATAAAGAGATATCTATTATATTCTATGTAGAATATAATTTCTAACAGTAAGTGCTATGAAAAAAAATAAAGTAAAATAAAGAGATGGGGAGAGAATACTGTGTACATAGACAAAAGCCTAGAAAGAAGTGGATCAAGAAGTTAATACTGATTATTTCTGAGTAGTTGTATTATAGGTGATTTTTATTTTCTTCTCTTGGTTTTCTTTCTTAAAAGAAAATTTCTTAAATTTTTTTCTATAATGTATATATTTTGCTTTATAATTAGGAAAAAATACTGTTATTTTTAAAAAAGAAAGAAATTGTTTTGATTCAACAGATAACATAAGAGTGAATAATTGGAACCCAAATGCGGAGCTAAACTGAAAAGGATATTTAAAGCTATACTTGTAAAATAACACTGTTTTGGTGCCTACTTATTTCAGTGTTCACATATTTGGATGCTAAACTCCTTTACTTTCCTTTGTTTACATAATTTTGGGATTAATTTCAAGTTTTGGTAGGCAGCATCTAGAAAAATGGACCATTAGGCTTTTTTACTTTTTTTTTTTTTTTTTTTTTGCTACCATAGACTCTGTTTTATTTAGTTCTTCCTCAGTTTTGCTTCCTAATTAGTATTCTTTTATATTTTCCTAGATTATACATATATATTTTATTTTTGTATTTTTTTCTTAAGTATCTCAACAGTCAAAAACACTTGTCACTTATATGTTTGCAGTTGGTAGAATACTAAACTATACTGTCTCCCGTCCTAGTGTTAAGAAATTTATAGTTAAATATCAAAATACAAGTGGGCAGCGGTGTGTATCCATATATGGTATTCCATCTAGTTGCATTCATACTGGTTACCTTTTCCTAAAGAGCATTGCCGTATTGAGACTCAAGGTAGAGTTTCTTTTGTACCTAAATTCTTCTCAGTGACTTGGTATCTTGACACTTTTCATACCTACCCTAGATTTGGACTGACTCCAGGGTACTGTTAGAAAGAGGCGATTGGACACATTCTAATAAACCAGAGAAAAAGGATTATTTGATGTTAGAGATTGATATTTTATATTGTGTGGAACATGTTCAAACTGCTCAATTGTTTTTTCCCACAAAGAGTACAGTTCACAGGTCTGACTGAAATAATTATCCAGTAGAAGGAAGGAGGATTAAGCCTGAGATAACATCCTTGGATAAGCCACTTGTATACGTCAAAGATGCCATTTAAGTGTAATACATTATGATTATGATGATGACGATGAAGATGAATTCAGGCTGCTGCTTGAATTCAAAGAATTCATGTATATGTTTCAGGTGTAACATCAGAAACAAATCTCCATATAATTGAGAGTGATTAAGAAATTCGTGAAGTTTTTCTTATCACTTATTTCAAGTATGTAATCTTTCCCTCAGATCTGAAGTTTTCTACCTTCTCAGTTATCTGAAGTGGAAATCTTCCAGTCAGAAAGGAGAACCATCTATAGTCTATTTGAATTCTGGTTTCATTTCCTTGTTAGATTTTTTTTTACTGACATTAGAATCTGTCTGGTTGTTATTGTTGTTCCAGACCTGGAGCTTTAAGCAGAAGATATACTTGCTCGCCTGCTGTCAGGTCACCAAGACAAAAATCATAAGCTTTCTGAAATTGTTACTGGCATCTTTTTATGTGCTTATTGCCCATTTATGTATTTCGTGTGGAGAAAATGCCAGTGTGATACCGTTTCTTAATTGGGTTATTTGTCCTATTATTAAGTTGTAAGAGTTCTTTATGTATTCTCAATACAAATCAGATACATGATTTGCAAGTATTTTCTCCCGTTCTGTGAGTTGTTGTCATTTCACTTTCTTAATGCTATCATTTGCAGCACAGAATTTTTAATTTTCGTGTGCCCAGTTGATCTAGTTTTTTTGCTGTTGTTGTTGCTTGTGCTTTTAGTGTGGTATCTAATAAGCCATTGCTTAATCTGAGGTCCTGAATTTTCCTCCTATATTCTAATAATTTTATAGTCTTAGCTATTATATTTAGTCTATGATCCATTGTGAGTTAATCTCTATATGTGGTGTGAAGAAGTGTTCTAACTTAATTCTTTTGCATATGGATATCTACTTGTCCCAACACCATTTGTTGAAAAATTATTCTTTCTCTATTTAATTGTCTTGACATTTCTTGAAAATTAGTTGACTGTACTATTAAGTGTAAGAGTTTATTGTTGTCTTTACAGTATTGTCTTTGGTGATCCATGAAGATGAGATCTATTTATTTAGATCTTCTTTAAATCATTTAAACAATATTTTATAGTTTTGAGTGTACATTTTTGCACTTATTTTGTAATGTCCTGTTTTTGTAATATTTGACTATACTAACCTACTAAAATTGTATTAGTGTGGTAAAGCCTAGGATGTTATTGCAGTCACATTGTTTCCACCTGTAATAGATACATTTGGATTTTTAGAATTTTTATATAGACATAATATTTTCATTTTTGTTTGTGTGTTCTTTAGGAACCTGACTCTGAGGAATCTTCATCGATTACGATAGACAAGAAAGGGAAAGAAAAATTGTTTTGGAAGAACCAACAGGGTTTCTTTTCTGAAGAGAAGAACAAAACTTTCAGCAGAGTTCAGGTAAAGCAGAGTGAAAGGAGTTAGTATAATTGAAATTAAACTAAAATGACTTAGACTAGGGATGCCAGTACTGTTGTACTGGTTGGGATTATAGTAAATCTAAATGGTTACATGGAGCAAAGTCTATAATTTCACATTTTATTCTAATAATTTGTTTGATTACCACATCCTTTTAAGATTATTTTAAGAGTCTCTGGAAAACCTATATTTGATGTTTATGTTCACTTTTAGAAAATACAATTAAAAACTCCATTATATGCTGTAATAGAAGAGGAACAGCTAAATGAGTTACAGGATATTCTGCCAGAAACCCAGGATTATCTTTCAGAAACCCAAGGTGATCTGCTGGAGACCCAGGGTGATCTAACAGGAGTGCAGAGTGTTAAGCTGGAAGCCCAGAATATTGAGCCACATTCCCAGGCTGTTGAGCTGGCAGGCCAGCCTATGGAAGGCCAAGTTGTTGAACCCAAAGCCCAGGCCATTGAACTTAAAGTCCAGGTTGTTAAGATAGAATCTCAGAGTCTGATGCTGGAAGCCCAGAGTATTGAACTAGAAGATGGAAATATGTTGGAAGTCCATGATTTTTTATCCCCAAATCAGGCTTTTCTACCCAAAGACCAGAACATTCTACCCAATGACCAGAATATTCTACTCAAATGTCAGGACCAACATATTCTACGCAAAGACCAGCATGTTTTCCTCAAAGACCAGGATATTCAACCCAAATATCAGGACCAGGATTTTATACCCAAATGTCCAGACCAACATATTCTACGTAAAGATCAGCATGTTTTCCCCAGAGATCAGGATATTCAACCCAAATATCAGGGCCAGGATTTTATACCCAAATGTCCAGACCAACATATTCTATGCAAAGATCAGCATGTTTTCCCCAAAGACCAGGATATTCAACCCAAATATCAGGACCAGGATTTTATACCCAAATGTCCGGACCAACATATTCTATGCAAAGATCAGCATGTTTTCCCCAAAGACCAGGATATTCAACCCCAATATCAGGACCAGGATTTTATGCCCAAATGTCCAAACCAACATTTTATACGCAAAGACCAGCATATTCTTGCTAACGACCAGAATAGCGTATTCAAATTTCAACACCAGCATTTTCTACCCAGAGAGCAATGTGTTCTCACCAAAGATCAGCATGTTTTCTCCAATGAACAGAATACTCTATGCAAATGTCAGGACCAGGATTTTCTACCCAGATATCAGGTAAAATGGAGTGGGAAGGAGATAAAGCAAGAAGAAATAAGCTACTTAAGGTTTGGAGTGGGATTTGCAGGGACTAGATTGCAACTAATTTGGAGATTCATAGTTGGAAAAGATAATATCCTGGTTGATTTCTAAAAGCTCTGGAGTTCTCATTAAGTCAAAAAAAAAATATATATATATATATATATATATATATATATATATATATATATATATATATATAATTGATTTCAGAGAGGAAGGGAGAGGGAGAGAGAGAGATAGAAACATCAATGATGAGAAAGAATCATCGGTTGGCGACCTCCTGCATGCCCCCCACAGAAGCCCACAACCCGGACATGTGTCCTTGACTGGAATCAAATCCGGGACCCTTCAGACCGCAGGCTGATGCTCTACCACTGACCCAAACCAGCTAGGGCTGGACAATTACTTTAAATAAAATCTTTATTAGGGAGACTATTTCTGGCAGCCATAATCTGCTTTGACAGCTAAAGATGGGCAAAGGAGTGGCCCACAAGTGTCCAGTAGTATCTTATACCAGATTACAAGGCCAGCCCTCTACTAGAGATCAGTTAGACCAAAAGGAAGAAGTAAGAGATTGACAGGAATTATTTAGGGGTGTGGCTGGGCTAATGTGGAATAGAGTATAGTGGGGGTTTTTTATTCCATAAGATGTCCAGTTATTCTCTGACCTCAGAGAACTCCAGAATTCTCACTATAGCCTAAAGTACTATTGGTTAACATGTCTTTCTAACTGAACAATTGCTATTTTGTGTTTGTTCTGTTTTAGAAAGCAAGTTAAAGCAGCCAGCATCAATTTCCATAGGTAGGAGAGGGAGAGAGGTATTTTCTTTGGATGTCCATCAAAATCAGGCCTCCATCAGGGACATGGTAGGACACAAAAGGGAGAGAGACCAGCAGGAACTGAGTTGTTTAGGGTTTAGTTTGGAGCTTGCAAAAATTGTTCTCAGCTAGAACAGACAAAAAGTATGGTTTTCTGTTTTATTCCAATGTATCCTGAATTTAAAAATTACCATAAAGTTCACAATAAACCTCAGAATGTTATTGCTATCATATTATTCCTACAGACAATTTACAGTTTGTATTTATTTTCTTTTAGAAAGTCCGCTTCAAGGAGCCATATTCTGTTATAAATGAGAAAGGGAGAGATGGCTTTTCTCTGGCAGGTTATCAGTCTCCTACTCCTAAAGTCCAGGACCAGGTGTGCATCAGAGATCAGGTAAAGCAGAATAAGAGAGAGATAAATGGGAAATAAAGTGCTGGGTTTTAGACATTCTCAACAACTGGTAATGTGAAGTGTAGTCAGGTGCAAAGGTCCCTGGTCTAATGAACTGTATCAGTCAAATCAGTTCTGTGATTCAGAAGGCTGATAAACCATGTTTAGATTCTTCTTTTTGTTGTTAATCCTCACTTGAGGATATTTTTTCATTGATTTTTAGAGAGAGTGGGAGGGAGGGGGAGAGACTGACAGAGAAACATTATGTGAGAGAGCCACATCAATTAGTTGCCTCTTGCATGTGCCCTCACTAGGACCGGGGATCGAACTTGTGACCAGGTATGTGCCTTTGACCGAAATTGAACCCGGGACCCTTCAGTCCACAGACTGATGCTCTATCCACTGACCCAAACCAGCTAGGGCTGGACAATTTACTTTAAAAAAAAATCTTTTTTAGAGGAACTATTTCTGCTTTGACAGCTCAAGTTGGGTGAATGTGTGGCCTACAAGTGTCCAAAAGTATCTTTTACCAGGTTCCAAGGCCAGCCCTCTACTAGAGATCAGTTAGACAAAAAGGAAGAAGAGATTTACAGGAATTACTTAGGGGTGTGGCTGGGCTAATGTGGAATAGAGTATAGTGTTTTTTTTATTCCATAAGATGTCCAGTTATTCTCTGACCTCAGAGAACTCCAGAATTCTTACTATAGCCTAAAGTACTATTGGTTAACATGTCTTTCTAACTGAACAATTGCTATTTTGTGTTTGTTCTGTTTTAGAAAGCAAGTTAAAGCAGCCAGCATCAATTTCCATAGGTAGGAGAGGGAGAGAGGTATTTTCTTTGGATGTCCATCAAAATCAGGCCTCCATCAGGGACATGGTAGGACACAAAAGGGAGAGAGACCAGCAGGAACTGAGTTGTTTAGGGTTTAGTTTGGAGCTTGCAAAAATTGTTCTCAGCTAGAACGGACAAAAAGTATGGTTTTCTGTTTTATTCCATAGTTTCTTGAGTTTATAAAATTACCATAAAGTTTACAATAAAGCCCAGAATATTATTTCTATCATATTACTCCTACTAGACAATTTACAGTTTGTATTTTCTTTTTTTAGAAAGTCCACTTCAAGGAGCCATGTTCTGTTATAAATGAGAAAGGGAGAGATGGCTTTTCTCTGGCAGGTTATCAGTCTCCTACTCCTAAAGTCCAGGACCAGGTGTGCATCAGAGATCAGGTAGATCGGAATAAGAGAGAGATAAATGGGAAATAAAGTGCTGGATTTTAGACATTCTCAACAACTGGTAATGTGAAGTGTGGAGCCTGGTGCAAAGGTCCCTGGTCTAATGAACTGTATCAGTCAAATCAGTTCTGTGATTCAGAAGGCTGATAAACCATGTTCATATTCAACTTTTGTTGTTAATCCTCACCTGAGGATATTTTTTCATTGATTTTTAGAGAGAGTGGAAGGGAGGGGGAGAGACAGACAGAGAAACATTATGTGAGAGAGCCACATCTATTGGTTGCTTCCTGCTCATGCTCTGACCAGGGCTGGGGATCGAACTTGTGACCAGGTATGTGCCCTTGACTGGAATCGAACCCAGTATCTTTCAGTCCACAGGCTGATGCTCTACCCACTGAGCAATACCAACTAGGGCACCATGTTCATATTCTAGGTATAGAATCAGACTGTTTTAATTTACTAAGATTACATTACAGCTTTTGCTGAAGCTAGTGGAATTACCTTGTGGTAATTGCCCTGACATGAATAAAGTAAGAAGAAGTAGTAGATCCTAAATTACTTAAAATTTGAGGAGTTTGTGAGACTATTCTGTATATGGCTTGGGATTAAAAATTAAGGCTTACGGAGTTGAGCTAAAAGTGTCACTTCTTGTTCAGATCAAAATGTATCAGAATATCTTCACCTGATAGCATTTCCCTGGAGTTCTCATTGCAGCCTACAATATTATGGTTAGCATGTTACCCTGGTTAGAAAATTTCTTTTCTGTTTTTGTTTTTTCTTTAGAACATGTTTTTCGAGCAGCCGTCATCTTTTCTGAGAGAAGTGAGAGTGAGAGATGAATTTCTCCGGAGTATCATCATTATGTTAACCCTCAAGTCCAGGACCAAGCCTCCCCTGGAGATCAGGTAGAACAGAAGACAGTGGGGAGGATGTCACTTTTCAAAGGAGTAACAGAGACAAATTAAGATTTGGGCTGGAGCTTATCAAGGTAGCTTATATGTAGGATACATAGATTGGAGGCTTCTAGAGTTAGGCTAACAATATCATCTTTTCAGTTATTTCAAAATGAGCCCCTTCTAAAGACTGCAGATGAGAAAGCATACCTTTGTCCAGGGGTCCTCAAACTTTTTAAACAGGGGGCCAGTTCACTGTCCCTCAGACCGTTGGAGGGCTGGACTATAGTTTTAAAAAAACTATGAACAAATTCCTATGCACACAGCAGCGGCAAAAACACCCGGCGGGCCGGATAAATGTTTTCGGCGGGCCGCATGTGGCCCGTGGGCCGTAGTTTGAGGACCCCTGCTTGTGATTTGAGTTAACTGAGAGACAGGTTTTATATAATTGGTTAACAGTAAATTGTTTTTTTAAACTCAAGTCCTTTAGCCTATTTATTTGGCCTTATACATCTATAATAATAAAATCATAGTATGCTAATTAGACTGGATGACCTTCCAGACAAAGCCAGGGCTACAAGGGAAGCCTGGGTCCCGGGTGCCTGCTGGCGGCTGGAGAGAAGCCCGGGTGCCAGAGGGAAGCCGGTGCCGGCAGCCGGGGAAAAGAAGGCCTACTCTTGCATGAATTTTTTGCATCAGGCCTCTAGTTATTTTATAAATGCTGAAGGGAGTCTACTTTTGATCAACAAATGCAGGATACCAAACCCAGGCATCTAGTTTGCAGACCAGTTATGATGGCTACAACAAGCTATTTGCTGCCTCAGAACTTCCTGAACTTTACTAGTGTTTGTGCATGAATTATTGGGGACACCAAGTAGGAGTACTTGTGAAAATGACACCAACTTGTCTCCTGGATTTTCCTTGGGAAAATGCTAGCAACATTATAAAAATACTAGAGTCCCAGTGCACGAAATTTGTGCACTGAGGGGGAGGTGTCCCTCAGCCAGGCCTGCACCCTCACGCAGTCCAGGACCTTTTGGGTGATTTCCACCTGCCAGCTTAGGCTCACTTCTCGTTGGGAGTGGGCCTAAACTGGCAGGAGGACATCCCTCTAGCAATCCGGGACCCCTTGCTCCTTACTGCCCACCTACTCGCTGTTCCTTACTGTTCAGCTCACTGCTCATTAGCACTGCCATGGAGGCTGGAGCGGCTCCCACCACCACCACTGCGCTTGCCAGGTGTGAGCCCGGCTTCTGGCTGAGCGGCGCTCCCCCTGTGGGAGCACATTGACCACCAAGGGGCAGCTCCTGCATTGAGCGTCTGCCCCCTGGTGGTCAGTGCGCATCATAGCAACTCGTCTTTCTGTTCGTTCCACGGTAATGGTCACTTAGGCTTTTATTATATAGATTGCCTTGTTGCTTTATCTTCTTTTAACTATGCTATTGCAGAAAGAAAAAGTGCCAGAACAATCTGGGTTTTGCTTTAAAATACTCCAGAAAAAAAGTGGGAGAAGAGATAGATGAAAAAATAAAACGTTGCCAATTATTGAAGCTGGGTGAAGGGTATCTTGGGATTCATTATACTCTGTTTTTTCCCTATTTTGATGTGTGTCTGGAAATTTTATATTAAACACACACACACACCCCTGTTAAATTATCCTAACCTGGTATCATTATTCTGGGATTGTCACTGAAGTCTACATTATTGTCACTAACCCATCAATTTTGCTTATACAATTAGTTTTGTATTTTGTTATTCCTTTAAAACTACTATACCAAGCAACACCCCCCCCCTTTTTTTTTTGAGAAATGAGAGTTTGAAACAGGAATTGCTTCTGGAGTGCCATTGGCTTGTTTCACCCAGAATTCAAGACTTGGGCTCTCCAGAGAATAAGTAGAGAATGCTCTAGTAAGGAGTAAGTAGCAGAGAGTAAATTGCTTAGGTTTTGTCTCAAGATTGACAGGGCAATGTGGTAACTGCTCCAGGGGTTTAGTTTTAAGGTCAGCAATAATGGACAAAGATATAATATCTTCTTGTTTTGTGATGTATCACACCATTCTGACCTACTGAAACGACTTCAGGCCTCTTCACTGAAGCATTTACTGTTGCCCTGGCATGATGCTCCTGCTTGGAAAATGTTCAGTGTTTATGAGGTCTTTTAGCACAGGAACTGTGAGCAGGCCTCACGTAATATGACAGTTGAGATATGGAGAAGGGAGTTATTTCTAGAGTGCCATGATATGTCGTACATTAAATCCAGGATTCAGGCTCTGCCAGAGAGCAGGCAGAGCAGAGTAAAGAGTAAGCAGCAGAAAGTAAATTAGAGTTGGATCTGGGCTATGCTACTAACAACAGTGATGATGATGGTGATAGTGTTGTCTCTTAATAATATTAGTAATATTAATATTATTATGACTGACAGCTTACATTCTTAAGCTAAAATTGATCTAGAACCTTATGTCCATTGTCTCATTTAATTCTCACAATAACTCTGGGAGATAGATTTTATTATTACCCTTGTTTTATAGATGAAGAAACTTTTGATTGCTTTGTGGACACTGTTAAGGTCCAAATAGTGGCCAGAAGTATGTCTACTTTTATACCATACTGTGTCATATTCTTCTGACCTATTTAGATGACCTCAGGGCTATCATTGCAGCCTATAGTATTTTCACTACCATTCTGCCACTGCTCATACATTTGGTGGGTGCTTTTGTATCTTTTTAGAGTTTATACTCCAGGCAGCAGCCATCTGTCGGGACAGCTGAAAGGTGGCGAGATTTGCTTCTGGATGGCCATCAGTGTCTTCCAGCCAAGCACTGGAGAGAGGCTTCCAGCAGAAGGCAGGTAGGAGCAGTAGACTGTAAACAGGAGTACAGGCACTTACTGCGCTGCGGGTGGTAAGGCTGAGCACAAAGCAGATTCTTGTTTTATATCATAGAGTGTAAAACCTATCCTGACCTAAGATTACTCTAGGCTCTCACTGAAACCTACAGTCTTCTCAGGAGCACTTGTTGCCTATTGGGAAAACTACATTTTATATGTATGTTCTTTGTGAAAGGTGTATTTCTGGTGGCTATTCTCTTTTAGCAGGGTCACCAAGGGATAAAGTGGTTTCTGAGAGGGAGGGGCCAGGGGGATCTTCCAGCCAATGGCCAGGACTAGATCTCCCTCATAAGCTGCTGGAGCATCAAGAAAATATTAAAATACCTCGGCCCTAGTAAGATTTTTCCATGGCTTAACTGAAGTTTATTAGAATTTTACCACTGTCTGGATAATTTCTATCTTGTGGTTTTATCTTGTTATTTTAAAAACAGCCTCAGGCAACCAGCATTGTTATAATATATGAAAGAGATAAAGAGAAATTTCCTCTTGGCTCTTTTAGGAGAACAAAAAGAAAAGGAGGCATAAAGGCAGAAAGTAGGATTTGGGCTGAGGTTTTCTGAACTAGACTGCCACTCTTTTGGGATTTTTAGTTTGGGTCTATAAGGTTGGCCTAAGGGTTTGCTGTCATGTTTTATTCTGCATCATCATTTATATATGCTGAACTATGCTGGGCTCTTTTCTACCTCAGGTCTTTTGCATATTTTCACCCCTCTCCCTGCATAGTCTTTTTTTTTTTCTTCACAAAGCTGGTCCTTTCTTATCCTTCAGGTTTCAGCTAAAATTTCACCCCCGTAGAAAAGACTACCTTGAGCAAATTATCAAAAATAGGTCTCTCCTCTTCTTTGGTTTTTATTTTAAATCCCTGCTTTCTGTTTTCTTCTCAGTACAAAAAAGACTTTGTTATTATTTACTTATTTACATCTTTTCCACTGGGCTGTAAGCTTCTGTGTGGGCAGCCTTTAGCACAATACTGGTACCTGGTAGTCTCTTGTTAAATATGTTTTGAATGAATAAGTCAGTCAGTCAAACATTTATTGAGCACCTGTTAGGTGCTAGCCATTATTTAGGTCCTAAATATCAAAGATAGCATGCTGAAGAAGACACAGCACTCAATTTCTAAACAGGAGAGACTGAGACATAAGCAGATGGTTATGACGCAACGTGGCTAGTTGTAGAGAAGGCGTAGGGCATTATCTGAGCACAGAAGAGGGGTACCCAACCCTGACTGTTCAATGGAGGGTGTGGCTTTGTAGTCACAGCCTCCTCTTGTCCTTCTGCCATCCAGCCCTGAAAATCCTCAGCCCTGATCAGTCCTTTTTCATTTTAGATTCCCAAATAATCGAGCCTCATGGAAGAAAACACTTTATTCATGTAGATTTGAACCACATTCATACTAGCATTTACAATCCCAGCTGGGTACCCAGTACTGCTTAGCATTTTTCTTGCCTGCCCCTCCCGTAGCCCACACTGATAATTCTAATCCTTAAACACTTCTTAAAGTTCTTGCTGTTCCCCGTACTCTCTGGCTTTCATAAAGAAAATTGAAGCCATCACACAAAACTGCCTCAGCCATTTACTTTTCGCTATTCTTCCTATTCTTCCTATCTCAGAGGAAGAGTTGTCTCTCTTTGGACCCATATTCTGGATTCTCTTGCTACCTTTACTTCCGTGTCCAATTTTGAATGTTATATAAGACTTTGGTTTCTGTCAAAATCCTCTAAAGAATGTTGCATCCTTTTTGTTTGCAGCAGGCATCACCTGGCTGGGTTCAGACTCTCAGTAGTTTCTCGCCTTCTGTGAACAGTGACTTCAGTGTTAGTTCAGTTCTCAAAGCCTTCGTTGTCCTCCTCTAGGTCCGCCCCTGTGCACACACAGCTCAGGGTGACTGGGATGTGTGCCAGTTCATACACGGAATTAAAGGATCCACTTTTCTAGCTCGCTCCCCTTCAGGATACCCACCCTCTACACTCCCCAGATCCCACTGACGACAGTTTTTCTTAGAATCAATGAGAGAGAGAGAGAGAGAGAGAGAGAGAGAGAGAGAGAGAGAGAGAAATCTGTCGTGGGCTTACTCCTTTACCAGTGCTGGAAGTCTAGTTTTTCTTACTTTTTTGAAAGCAGAAAATAATTTCATTTTTATTGTAGCAAAAGTAAATCCAAACAGAAAGAAAAAACTCCACAAAAATTCCAGAGAGAACCATCGATGAGAGAGAAACATCGATCAGCTGCCTCCTGCACATCTCCCACTGGGGATGTGGCCGCAACCCAGGTACATGCCCTTGACCGGAATCGAACCCGGGACCCTTCAGTCCGCAAGCCGACGCTCTATCCACTGAGCCAAACCGGTTTCGGCAATAATTTCATTTTTATTGTAGCAAAAGTAAATCCAAACAGAAAGAAAAAACTCCACAAAAATTCCAGAGAGAACCATCATAAGCCTTTTGCTATTTCTCATTTTCCTATAACAAACAAATGAATCACTTTAAAAATCATAGCCTTATTGAGATAGACAGTCTAGTCTTGTCATTCACGGTAGCTATGTTCTAATAGTTGCCTCAAACACCAAATTAGTGAATTCTGAACCATTGCTCCTAGGGAAGATATAGGTTAGGTTCCTGGGAGCATCTGATCACATTTTTGTTAGCTGATCAATACATTACCTTGTTGTATATGAATTGTTGTTTAAAGACCCCTTATTTAATATAGTATATTGTTGATTCATTAACATTGAACTCGGGGCTAATAGCCCTGTGGCCTATGCCTGAATGAAGCTTATCTGATACATGTATATTCTCCATAAAACACATCATAGCCTTTGTATGCTTAGGAATACTAGCTACTACTGTAGCACTGTGCTTGGGGGCCATTTTAAACAGCAAAATCACCAACAAAAAAGCAAAAAACTTGGCACTAATTATACCTTGAAAAGGATACTTGTTTACAGTATCAAACTTGTTCAACCTCAGCTGGTAATGTGCACATCTGGTGACTCAAATTTTTCACAGCTCTGTGCATGTCTGCAAATGACCACAAAAACACCGTGAGTATTGATTTTGGAATTTCAAATAAGTTTCAGCAAATAGGTGAATTCATAAATAAGGAATATGTGAATAGGAGGATTGACTGTAATTTACATACTCTACAATTCACCTATTTAAACTGTACAATTCTGTGTTTATAGCATATTTAAAAGGTGGTACACACATGGCCACAAACAATTTCAGAACATTTCATCACTCTGAAAAGTCTTGTACCCATTATTATTTTTTTAAATATATTTTATTGATTTTTTACAGAGAGGAAGGGAGAGGGATAGAGAGTTAGAAACATCGATGAGAGAAAAACATCGATCAGCTGCCTCCTGCACACTCCCTACATGGGGATGTGCCCACAACCAAGGTACATGCCCTTGACCGGAATTGAACCTGGGACCCTTCAGTCCCCAGGCCGACACTCTATCCACTGAGCCAAACCGGTCAGGGCAGTCTTGTACCCATTATAGCCTTTTTCCCTCACCTCTACCGCCAGCCTTGGACAACTACTAGTCTACTTTCTGCCTCTATAGATTTGCCTTTTTTGGGCATTTCATATAAATGGAATCATGCAAAATATGACCCTTTATGACTGGTTTATTTCATTGAACATCGTGTTTTCAAAAGTTTATCAATCTTGTAGCATGTAGCATTACTTCATTCCTGACAATTGGATAATATTACATTTTATGCATTTAGCACATTTTATTTATCCATTTCTCAGTTGATGGACATTTGGATTACCTGGCTATTATGAATAATGCTGCTGTGAACATTTGTGTACAAGTTTTTTGTTGAGATATATTTTCATTTCTCTTGGGTATATACATAGGAGTGAAATTTCTAGGACATATGTCACTTTATGCTTAACTTTTGTGGAACTGTCATTCTGGTTTCCAAAGTGGCTGTACTATTGTTTATTCCCACCAGCGGTAAATGAGGGTTCCAGTTCTCTCCATTCTCACCAGCACTTGCTATTACCTGCGTTTTTAAATTATAGCTATCTTAATAGGTGTGATGTAGTATCTCATTGTTATATTTTCCTGATGGTTAGTGATGAGCATCTTTTCATGTGCTTATTGGCCATGTGTATATCTTCTTTGGAAAACTATTAGATTCTCTGCCCAGTTTGTAATTGAGTTTTTTGTCTTTCGATTATTGAGTTATGTGAGTTCTTAATATATTCTACATACAGGTTCCTTTTTAGTTATATGATTTACAAATGTTTTTTTCCCATTCTGTGGGTTGTCTTTTTACTTTCTGAATGGTTTCCTTTGCAGCCACAAAAGTCTTAATTTTGATGAAGACTAGTTTATTTTTTCTTTTGCGGCATTTGATTTTGATGTTCCCGTAAGAATTTTATGTCTCTTACATTTAGGTCTATGATTCACTTTGAGTTAATTTTTGTATGTAGTGTTAGATAGGGGTCTAACTTTATTCTTTATCATGTGGATATCCAGTTATCCTAACACTATTTGTTGAAAAGATTATTCTTACCCATTGAATTCTCTTGGCACTCTTGTCAAAAATCATTTGAGTGTGAATATAAGGGTTTATTTCTGAAAAGTCATTTCTATTTTGTTGATCTATATAATTTATCCTTATCCTGGTACCACACGATCTTTGATTACTCTACTTTTGTAGTAAGTTTTGAAATTGGGAAGAGTGAGTCCTCCAACTTTGTCTTCTATTCCAGGATCATCTCAGATATTTTGGGTCCCTTGCATTTTCGTATGAATTCAAGAATCATCTTGTTAATTTCTACAAATAATCTAACTAACATTTTGATGGTGATTGCATTAAATCTGCCCATCAGTTTGGGGAATACTGCTATCTCAACAACATTAAGTCCTCCGAGCCATGAATATGAGGTGTCCTCCCATTCATTTAGATCTTAATTTCTTTTGGCAATGTTTTGTAAGTTTCTGAGTATAAAATTTACACTTTCTTTGTTAAAAATTTATTTCTCAGTATTTCTTGATGGTATTATAAATAAATTTTCCCCCTTAATTTTGTTTTCAGATAGTTCATTGCAAGTATATAGAAATACAATTGATTTTTGTATAATGATCTTGTATCCTGCAACTTTCCTGAAAGAGAAATAATCTTTAAACTAAAAAGATAAAAGTAGCCGAAACCGGTTTGGCTCAGTGGATAGAGCGTCGGCCTGCGGACTGAAAGGTCCCAGGTTCGATTCCGGTCAAGGGCATGTACCTGGGTTGCGGGCACATCCCCAGTGGGAGATGTGCAGGAGGCAGCTGATCGATGTTTCTCTCTCATCGATGTTTCTAACTCTCTGTCTCTCTCCCTTCCTCTCTGTAAAAAATCAATAAAATATATTTAAAAAAATAAAATAAAATAAAATAAAAAGATAAAAGTAATTTTAAGCTTTTATTTCTAAAAGTTAGAGATCATAATTTGACTCATATGATGTCCAAGTAAGTAGACCAAGTGATGTTATAAGACTTCTTGATAATGTGGGAGAAATTAGCTCCAGTCTTCTCCCTCTTTGTCAGTTTTTTGTTCAGATATTTTCAGTCTCTTATTCTTAAGAGAGTTGTATAATTGAAAATGCTTATATATTCGAGACATTAAGGGAGCTGGTTTTATATCTTGGATTCAATCCCAAGCACACTCATGATAGAATGATATTAAGTAACTATATCAGAAGAACTTTCATTCTGGGCATTTTGATTTGTTATTAGTTCATCCATGTTTTTGACTTGAATCTTTTTCTTTGTTTTTGGTTTTTTGTTAATCCTCACCCGAGGATATTTTTCCATTGATTTTTAGAGACAGTGGAAGGGAGGAGGAGAAACAGAGAGAGAGAAACATCGATTGGTTGCCTCCCCCAAGCACCCCAACCAGGGCTGGGGATCGAGCCTGCAACCCAGGTACGTGCCCTTGACTAGAATTGAACCCAGGACCCTTCAGTCCATGGGCCAGCGCTCTGTCTACCAAGCCAAACCAGCTAGGGTCTGAATCTTTTTCTTTGGTTTATTGTTTTTATTTGGTTAATTCAGTCTGAAACTGCTTCCTTTCATTCTTTTTTTAATTTTATTCTTTTATATATATATATATATATATATATATATATTTATATACATATATATATATATATATATATATATGTATGTATATGTATTTGGTTTTTTATTCAGTTGAGCTCAAGGTTGCAGGAGAAAAGAATCAATAGATGGAAATATCAAAAGTGTGCAAGGGGCTAACTTTTAGCAGTTTTGTCACTTTGTGTGACTGGACTTTTTAACAGGTTTATGATAAATATCAATCAGGATGGAACACTGAATTCCAAACTCCACTAGGACTTCAGTTTGGAGTAAGTCAAGAAGAAGACAAAAAAGAGGTATGTAATGATAAATGCTTTTGGACACCAGTGTTTCTACTGTAACAATATATGTGAAATTAGAAATAATTTGTTGTGTCCTAATAATTAAGAGCTAATACTAAAAATTTCATAAAGGCTAAGAAATTACTTGAGCCATTATAATATGTTAAACTTCTAAGCTCCTAGGATTTAGGGTACCTTGATGTGAAATCAGAGATATTATCCTAGTGAATTTCTTCAATTAGTGATATTTGCCACAATAACTTATTTAAAGGAAGAGTTTTCATTTATGGCTTCCTTTTTCCTCCCTTTTCAATCCAAAGTTAGTGTAAACCAACAGTTTTTAACACTGGCCATGCATCAGTATCAGATGTGGAGCTTTTTTCAGATATATATTTTTTGGTATCTGAAAAGGTAGGTTTGGGGCATCTGTATTTTTTAAAAAGTGTCACTGATGATTGTGCTATATCTTCAATATTGAGAACTGCTATTAGACTTTTAATGTTTTTACTAAAAGGTTACAAACATGTCTGTGTGTATACTATTGCTATTTGAGTAGCTATGTCCTTAAAAGAGAATATATAAACCCAGAGATATGAATGTATCACACATCGTAGTAGCACTTGCTTTTGTTATACCTATTCCGTTTAAAAGTATGATGCTGTTATATTCCTCAGTCCTTCTCTGCTCCCCACCACGTTAGGCTAGGCTTAGAGTGTGGTTTTAATTTTGAAAAGTTAGTGACTACTGTTATGAAATACATCTCACATTCTTTCTGTGGCCCTGCTTCTATGGTACTTACTACTTGGTTATAATAAATATAGTATATATTTTATCATACCAAGTATAGTCATTTCCTCAAGTGCCATTGACAAGGGACTATACTAAGGGAAAACTAAATTAGTGCTTCTTTCTCCGATTTGTCTGTAACATATAATGGCCATGTGCTTGAAGATATAAAGGTCTTGCTGTATGTGATATCCTGAGCCACCTTAAATAGAAGGAAATTAAGGACTTAGTTCCATGTGGCTTCCATATCATATCGTTTTTTTGTCTAAGGCACAAAGATAATTTCTGTCCTTGGAAAGTCCTCTGAGAGCAGAATCTTAACAATTTTAACTTCTTTCCTTTAGCGTCAAAAGCGGTACCTGAGATATAGGCGACTTTTCATGGATATTGAAAGAGAAAAAGTAAAAGAACAACAAAGGCAAAAAGAATGCAGGAAGAGAATTGAAAAGTGAGTTTTTTGATCCTCATTGTGATCCTTAAATTACTAGTTAAGGTGATTTTAGAAGCTAAGTTTTAGAAATAATCAGGTAGTGGTTTTGCCTTCTGAGCCATAGTGAGAACAACTATTTTTGATCTGGATGGAAGTATTAATAGATGATTAAGGGCTATGTTTTTAAACAGTGATACTTAAGCAGAAAGTACAAAGAGTTCCCACTTACCCCCTGCCTCTTCTACTGTTAACATCCTGTACCACAGTGGTACATTTGTTACAACTGATAAACCTATGTGGACGCATTATAATCCATATTTTACATTCGGATTCACTCTTGGTGTAGTAGATTCTTACAGTTTTGACAAATGTATAATGACATGTATCCATCATTACAGTATCACACAGAATAGTTTCACTGCTCTAAAAATCCCGTCCTACAACTGTTTATTCATCTCCCTCCCCCAATCCCTGGCAACCACTGACCTTTTCACTATCTCCATTGTTTACTGCCACAGAGTTGTAATCGTGCAGGACGTAGCCAAAAAGCCTGTTCAGTTGACTCCTTTCACTTAGTAATATGCTTTAAGGTTCTTCCAATGCCTTTTCATGGCTTGGTAGCTCATTTCTTTTTAGTGCTGAGTAATATTATAGTGTCTGAATGTACCACAGTTTATTTATCCATTCACCTACTGAAGGACATCTTGGTTTCTTCCAAGTTCTGGCAATTATGAATAAAGTTTCTATAAATATTCATATACAGGTTTTATGTGGGCATAAATTTTTAACTCCTTTGGGTAAATACCAAGGAATGCGTTTGCTGGATTGTATGGTAAGAGTTTGTTTACTTTGGATAGAAATTGCCAAGCTTTCTTTCAAAGTAGCGAAACCATTTTGCATTCCACCAGCAGTGAATGAGAATTCTTATTGTTTCACATCCTTGCCAGCATTTGGTGTTTTCAGTGTTTTGGCTTTGGGCCATTCTAAGTATCTAATAGTATCTCATTGTTTTAATTTGCAGTTCCGTAATGACATATGATGTGGAACATCTTTTCATATACAGTTGACCCTGGAACTATGTTGGGGTTATGGGCACCAACACCCCCACACAGTTGGATATCTGCATATTGCTTTGACTCCCCAAAAGCTTAACTACACTCATCTCATATCTATGGGAGATTGGTTCTAGGACCCCCCTATGGATTCCAAAATCTGTGGATGCTCAAGTCCCTTATTTATGGTATGGCATTGGCATTGGCATGCACGGATTCCTAACTATAGATTGGAAATACTGTTTCCATCTGCAGTGGTTGAGTCCACACATGCAAACCTGGGGGATCCAAAGGGCCAACTGTAGATTTATTGGAAAATATTCAAGTATAAATGAACCCACGCATTTCCAACCCATGTTGTTTAAGGATCAACTGTCCTTATTTGTCATCTGTATATCTTCTCTGGTGAGGTCCCTATTCAGGTCTTTAGCCCATCTTTTCATTGAGCTCTTTTGAAATTGAATTTATTGGGGTTACATTGGTTAATTAAATAGGTTTCAAGTGTACAATTCTATAATACATCATCTGTATATTATATTGTGTTCTCACCACCCATAGTCTAGTCTCCTTCATCCCCATTTATCCCTCTCTTTACAGTCTACCTCCTCCCACCCCCTTTCCCTCTGGTAATCCCTATACTGTTTATAAGGTGTTTTTGTTTGTTTGTTTGCTGGTCCTTCACCTTTTCCACCCAACTACCCCCCTGAGAGCTGTCAGTCTGTTCTCTGTATCTATGAGTCTGTTTCTTTAAAAAAATACGCACACATGTTTTTATTGAGAGTGGAAGGGAAAGGGAGAGAGATAGAAGCATCAATGAAACACATCAACATCAGCTGGCTGCCTTCTGCATGCCCCCTACTGGGATGGAGCCCACAACCTGGGCACATGCTCTGATGGGGAATCGAACCGGTCACTTCTTGGTGCATGGGATGCTGCTAAACCAACTGAACCACATCAGCTGGGCTAGTCTGTTTCTACTTTTGTTTGTTGATTTATTTTGTTCATTAGATTCCACATTTAAGTGAAATTATATGGTTATTTGTCTTTCTCTGACTGGCTTATTTCACTTAGCATTATAACCTCTAGGTCCATCCATGCTGTTGTGAAAGGTAAGATTTCTTTAACAGCATTCTAAAGTAAACATATATCAGCTTTCTAAACAGGAACCGATGAACACTGCTTTACTTATCCAGTTGCAATAAGAATCAAATGATTTGTTTTCATTAATTTATTTAGCAGCTATTTATTGAGCATCTATTAATTAGTAGACATGAAGCTAGACTTAGGGGGTACAAAAAATGAAAGACATGATCCCACTCTTCAGGGATCTTACTGACTAATTGGGAGGCAGATAAATGAACAGGTAATGACAATACTATATATTATGTATTACAAGATAATGTAGCATGTGGTTAAGAACATGGAGAGAGATGTGTTCAAGTCCCTGCTCTGCTGCCTACCAGCTGTGTGACTGGGAATGTTACCTCTGTGAGCCCTAGTTTCTTCTCTATAAAACAGGGATAATGATGGCATATGCCTCATAATGTTGCTATAAGCATTAAATGAGGTAACATGTAAATGTGCTTAATACAGAACCTGGCACATACTATGTGCTCAATAAATGTTAGTTGCCAAATATTTAAGGGAAAAAGTTATACCCAGTTTTACATAAATTATCCCAGAGAATAGAAAACAGGGAATGCTTCCCAAATAATTATAGAGGTCATTATAACCTTAATACCAACCTAACAAGGACATTTATAAAAAGGAAATTACAGACTAATTTCTCTTATAAAAACCTCAAGTAAAATAAACTATTGTTTGTAATATCATTAGAAGAAAAAAATTACAAGCCCAGAGACTGTATTTTGAACCCAAAATTGGGGGTATGGTATAGCAGGACAGGGAAGACTTCCTGAGCTGAGTTTTGGAGAATTAGAAGCCGTAGTGTGAGAGAAAATGGTAATTGGATTGGGGAAAAGCATACATGGGAATTCCAGGCAAAAGGCATAGCTTTGTAAAAGCATTGACTCTTGAGAGAATGTGACACTTCTGACATTGATGGGGTTGGGGCTAATGTAATGGCAAGAGGTGAGCCTTAAGGAATAAGGACAGACAAGATCGTAAAGAGCTTTGTATGTCATGACAAGGAATTTGGATTTTATCTTGAAAACAGGAGCCATATAGAGACATAGTGGGGAACAGATAAGATGACTGAAACTATGTATTAGGAGATCATTGAAGTAATACACTTAGGAAGATGAGAGGTGAAATTAAATTTTAAACAAAGTCCTGTTACAGTAAAGTTCTTGCTATGTGTCAAGCACTTCACATAATTGTCTCTAATTGGTACACAATCCTGCAGGGTAGTGGTAACTACTGTTCCTTGAGTGTTTACAGTGTGCCAGGCACAGTGTTGGGTGTTTTAGAGGCATTAGTTCATTTCCTCACTTCAGTAACCTTGTGAGGTAAATTTTACTCTTTGCCTTTTACAGATGAAAAAAATGAACCCTAGAGAAGTTAAGAAACTTGCCTAAGATCTTACCTAGCAATGGTAGAACTGGGATTCTACCCCAGATTTATTTGACTCCAACACCTAACCTCTTTGGATCTGTAACACAGCCTTTCAGATAAGCCAGGGCCAGGAGGCAGTGAGGAGAAGGCAGTTTTAAGAGCGTACGAGAGAGAATTGATAAGATTTTGTCAGAGAATTCAAGCGTAAATTTTAGGTTTATGGTTTAGGCTACCAGGTAAATGGGGTGCTATAAAACAGATTTTCCAGGGCCGAAACCGGTTTTGCTCAGTGGATAGAGCGTCGGCCTGTGGACTGAAAGGTCCCAGGTTCGATTCCGGTCAAGGGCATGTACCTGGGTTGCGGACACATCCCCAGTGGGAGATGTGCAGGAGGCAGCTGATCGATGTTTCTCTCTCATCGATGTTTCTAACTCTCTATCCCTCTCCCTTCCTCTCTGTAAGAAATCAATAAAATATATTTAAAAAAACAAAACAAAACAAAACAAAAAAAACAGATTTGCCAGGAAGGAGGTAGGTAGAGGTGGGGAGTATACATTTAGTTTGGAGCATATTGGGTTGGACGTGCTTAAAGGAAATCCAAGTAGAGAGTCTAGTAGGAAATAATTCAGTTATTTTTAGTAATGATTTTAGAAACCACTAAGAAAGAATGCTGTCAGAATCAGGAAACAGTAGACAGGAAGGTTGAAAGAAAAACAGGATCAGCAGGCAAAGATTTAGACCATGCCAGATTAGACCTTAATCCTGTTCTGTCAAAGAGGAAGATTTCTTCCACTTCCTTGAGAAGTTATTTTTCTAACAGGGCACCTCTTTAACTCCTGAAATAAATCTCTTTCTTAATCTTAGAAGCAGAATTCCTTTTAACTTTGTAAAAGATTAGTAGTATGGCCTTATCATATATGACTGAGTAACAAGAGTTTTTGAGTTGTTGAAATTATAAGAATACTAGAGGCCTGGTGTACGAAATTTGTGCACTTGGGGGCGGGGTCCCTCAGCCTGACCTGTGCCCTCTTGCAGTCTGGGAGCCCTCGGGGGATGTCCGACTGCCACGGAGGCGGGAGAGGCTCCTGCCACTGCCGCTGCGCTTGCCAGCCGTGAGCCCAGCTTCTGGCTGTGGGAGCGCACTGACCACAAGGGAGCAGCTCCTGCTTTGAGTGGGATCAGGCTGAAACTGGCTCTCTGACATCCTCCAAGGGGTCCTGGATTGCGAGAGGGTGCAGGTCAGGCCAAGGGACCCCACTGGTGCACAATCAGGGCCAGGGAGGGATGCAGGAGTTTGACCAGCCGGGGAGGGACCTTGGGAGGGCTCCAGGGTATGTCTGGCCCATCTCCCTCAGTCCAGTTTGGCTGGACCCCAGCAGCAAGCTAACCTACCAGTTGGAGCATCTGCCCTCTATTGGTCAGTGCACGTCATAGCAACTGGTCAACTGGTCG